AGACTTGCAGTAGCATGTTTAAGGCATTACGCAGCCACAGAATAACAGTGTATCAACTTCATGCCCACAATGTTCTTCAGTGCCCCATTTACAAGTAGTTTCCATTGCTTTCGGGACTCAAGAGCCATGCACATAAAATCTGCATTAATGTCACTAACTTCAACTTTAGGAGAATAACTCTATTTACCGCTCTGTATGTAAATCTGCAGCTCAGTAAAGTGACCAGAACCGTGATACAAAAGCAAAGGCAATTCAAAGGAAATGGAATGGTACACAAAAACCTCTCCAAAGGACCCAGAATGCTTCCTGAACGGCCTGACTTTTGGGGAATCAATTGCTTTTGTGGAATTATTGTGTGTTTAAACGTCAAATGGACTTAGAAGGCCATAACACCATCTTTATTAAAACAAAACCTACAAAAAAGGTACAAAAACATATGGTACAATCTTAAAAAAAGGGAAAATTAAAGATTAAAATGGTTTGAAATAGTCATCACCTTGCAGTTGACAAGAGAGCCAGCAAGTCATTATGATCGCATTATCCAAAATTCCAGTAATAAGGAATAACGTCTGTGCCATCCCTCATCAAACTACTTCAAATAGCATATTAAGAGTGTGATTTCAGTGTAGTGTTTTACATGGACGAGTCATTTTTATCCAGCTATTGGCGCCTTAATCACCGTCCGCTCATAATCCCAAAGTACATCTTACATCTGCATGTAGGACTAGCTTCCTCATCCGTTAATCCAAAACTAAACGATTTCACATTCCACTTATATCCGAAAAACAATTCCAGACGGCTCCGTAACAAGCCAAGGCCTCCCACTTTGACTTGGGAAGAGCGTCAACAAGAATTAAGGGGTTAAATCCTGCAAAATCATTCTTCTTAGAGCCAGACGCACCTGGCGACAGCAAGCAGTGCACATCCAGAAATACTAAATCGTCTTCCAACTCTAGCGAGGCACGTAATACATATCGTTAAGAGAAGAACATTAAATAAAATGCAGCCTCGACGCACGTGCGAGACAATTTTTCAAGAGTATTATTATTCAAGTACTTTTCACAGAATAATTTAGACCCAAAGTGACTTGCATCACAGTGGACAAGCATAAGGAATATCTATTAAATAACCGTCACATCAGAAATACATGGAACGTTTTTTGCGCATTTGCGAAAACGGTTGGTTGACTCCTCTCTATAACCGCCAACCGGAGATTTGAACACAACTTTCGTTCCTACACGGTGGAAATGGTTCCACAAGGTGAATCCAAAAAGGAATGGGTCAGTGAGAGCTCACCAAGTTACTATTTACATATATAAACGAGTGGAAACAGATGGCTGGATTACTCAACTGATGAGTTAAGAGGTGGAAACATGCTAATAAAGAATCTGTGCCCATTTGCCATATCGATTTGGTCCAACACGCTCATTTATCCACTGCTTCTGTAGGAACATTCAAAGCATGCCATCTGTAGGCCCTCAGGAGGGATTTCCAAAATACATAATGGGCATGACAGATTCTTCAAACAGCCTCGTTTACCTCCGTTACTTATGAAAGACGAGTTCAGAGGTCAGTAGCATACAGCAACGCGCACAGGCTGACGTAAACGAGGGCCTAAGAAAATTTTAGTGCAGTCACACACTCCTATGGCTTCTCTCTCAACTTTTGTACGGTGATCAAAATAAAATAAAATAATAGTTAATATAATTTCTTACATTAATTCACATTTGCTATACATTAGAAAGATCACAAAATAAAAACATGGATTTAATGCTGTGAATAAGTGAACGGTGAAACCAAAAAATGAGCAAGGCAACATCACGACTTGAGATGAGCGACAAAAAACGACGACAACAGAACTACAGTAATCGTTTCGCATATAACCCCATTTTACGTAATTCCTGCCTTAAGGATTGCGCTCAGGAAAGGACCGCCTCATCCATGCAAGAGGTCAAGGGCTGCCCCATCTCAGAATACGCTTATGGCCACTATATATAGTTTACGAACAGGCCGTTTCAATGGGTCTTCCTGTGTTTTCGGCCACATAATCCGATTTGTGTTCGATTTTGTTGATTCGAACCCTGTCGAGCGAGGTTCCTAAAGGGAATGAGACACGTATCAGGTCAGTATGAAGGCATGGGAGGAGTTTCATAATGTCCTATTGCAGGTGGTATCTGCCGAGTAATGTTAAGGCATTAAATCGAGATGTTTCGCAGTGGCAATCACTACCGTCAGTCTGCGTCCTCCCAGGTTCCAGCTCACGACAACTACTAAAACAAGGAAACGCCTGCCGAATGGCCATTATAACATTATTTGCGGCATCTTTCGTTTAATATGACCAAGTTGAGGTGTTTTCCAAGCCACTCTGGCACATGAAACGTTATTCTCATCCTGAAGAATTAGCAGTTTTCAGGCATAAAAAACAACATCTATTAGGAACTGGTCGTGGGAATAATAAGTGACTATATGGACCGAAAGATACAAAAACGCAGAAGGAAAGTCTTACTGGCCACCTCAGCCAATAGAAAAGCAGCCAGCTGTACGTCAAAGCAGTACGATATCGTAAGAGGAGAAAGCAGCATGACTGGCTGGTGGGTTGAAGTGGGAGGAGTGCTTTAGAACAAGCAGCTTAAATACTAGTCAGTGGAACGGAGACGCGCATGACGAGCGCCGCTCATCGTTACCACTGGAAACAGCTGCTTATGTCACACTTTCACAAAGTTCACGTGTAAAGGCCAGCTAGCGTCATTACGACAGTTATCTGTTTTGCGCTTTGCCCATGTACGTTAAATCACTCCAATAAGATACGACGAAGAAATCTGCTAGTCATATTCTAAGGCTTCGACCACTTCCTGGCAGCATGAGAACCAACAATCAGCCAACAAATACACAAACAAACATTTCAAAAGGGTTAAGTGAAATCAAAAAGCTACCGTCTCGTCTCGTGTGGAGTGGAAGTGGGCAGGGAGGTGCTCGGGGGAGGAAAAGGTCTGCGGTTCGAGCTCCAGCATGGGCGACTTTGTCTCTCTCCCTCCCTCTATGTCACACAAAGGGCTAGAACTGTGCCTGTCATGGAGGAAGAGGACGAGAGGGCACATTCAGAGACTTCCTCCACAGCACGTCCACCGCCGAGGATGAGGGGAACGAAAAAAGCAAAACAGCAAAGGAAGTGCAGTGCTGTTCCAGTGCTTTGAGATCCTTAGGTTTGCGTGAAGATCCTAGAGACAGTCTGAGGATGAGGCCCGTCGCTGCCTAAATTAAGATGTGGAAGAAAACAAACGAAACGAAACAAAGACAATCCCCACAGAGACAACGTGTGCATGCCTCGTACATCGGTCCCCAACTCAATTGGAGGGCTCGCTGTTGTCGTCTTGTAAAATTTCTTTATTTGAACGCTCTAAAAACAACCAAAGGAACGGACTGTGCGGAGAGGCCGGAGGTTCATTTGTGCCGTTGAGTGTTCTTCTTCCTCTTCCTCTTGAAGAAACAGCAGCACCTGAGGACAAACACAGGTTAAGGTTAGAGATGGCAGGCAATTAGCTTGTTATTCCAACCTAATAATGAAGCATCTGCCCTCTAGCTACACATGCGCTGTCACTATGTAGTTGCCTTTGTAAATCTTAAATAAAGCAGGTATGTGGGTTACGCTTCATATTGTCAGCACTTTCTATAATGCATTAGTATATTCGTATCAACCTAAATGCTACATATAAAAAGACAATAACTGGTCAAAGTTAATAAAAAGGAAACTTAAAGACATTTAAGTTTCATCAAAAGCATCAACAACAGAATGTTAAACAGCAACAACACGACAGAATGGGTCAGGGAAAACAAGGCACATGCAGTGGAAGAGAACAGCTCCAGACTGACACATTGAAAAGTGATAGACTTCACTAAACATGTTTCTAATGGATACTGCTAAACAGCCAGTAAATCCGACGGTGAGTAACAGGCAATCACTAGCTGTATCGTTTAGGTTCACTGCGGTTGTTAATGAAAAGTCATACTGAATATGCAGTGTCCTGCAAAAACATGCAGTTCCTTAACCAAGTCTGCCTTTTTACTAAATACTACACTGAAATTACATTCTCTGTACTATTTTTAGTTAGAAACACTTTTTTTTTTTTAAATCACGTCATGAACAATTAAAGGGATAGCTCACCCAAAAAATTCTGTCATTAATTACTCACCCTCATGTTGTTCCAAACCCGCAAGTCCTTTGTTCATCTTCGGAACATAAATTAAGATATTTTTGATGCATTCCGAGAGCTCTCTGACCCTCCCATAGACAGCAAGGATCCTTACCCGATCAAGGTCTAGAAACATAGCAAGGAGATTGGTAAAATAATCCATGTGACATCAGGGGTTCAACCGTAATTTTACAAAGCTACGAGAATACTTTGTGCGCAAAAGAAAAAAAAAAAACGACTTTATTCAACAATTCGTCTCTTCCGCGTCACCCTGGCGCCATTTTGGAGAGTATCTACTAAAAGTAAACAGCGTATGCTGTTCTGTGTCAGCTGCGTCACGCAGATACGCTGTTTTCGTTCTGATCAAAGCGTAAACTACGTAAACGGTGCATCTGCGTGACACAGCTGACACAGAATAGCATACGCTGTTTACTTTCAGTGGATACTCTCCAAAATGGCGCCGGGTGACGTGGAAGAGACGAATTGTTGAATGAAGTCTTTTTTTTTTTCTTTTGCACACAAAAAGTATTCTCGTAGCTTCGTAAAATTGCGGTTGAACCCCTAATGTCACATGGATTATTTTACCGATCTCCTTGCTACGTTTCTGGACCTTGATCGTGTTAATTACATTACTGTCTACATTATTGTCTACAGAGGATCAGAGAGCTCACGGGATGCATCAAAAATATCTTAATTTGTGTTTAGAAGATGAATGGAGGTCTTACAGGTCTGGAAGGAATTAATGACAGAATTTTCATTTTTGGGTGAACTAACCCTTTAATAATGGCCAAACAGCGAGAAATTAGTTCCTAAATTTAATACATAGGGTTAGGGGTTTATTAAAAAACAGTGTAAGACCTAGCAATACTTGGTTTGCCTGGGAGATTATGACCTTCTAACAATATTATTGACCATATTAAAATATATATATTGAAATAAATTTAAAATTGTGAAGCAACATGCTATTACTAAACAACTTCATGGCTGTGAAATTGCAAAAAATGAAACAGAATTAATTCTGATTATGACAACCAATTTATATCAAATAAAGTTACTAATGTTGTGGTATAAAATCTGAGACTTAGTTGAGTCTGCATACTTCTGTAAGGAACTGTGTATGTTCATTTAACCTCTACATCCTCATTCCGTTCGGTTTCTGTAAATAAGCTAAAGTTGGGCTATTAAAGACTTCTCAGTGTACCTCCAATCAACTTTATTTTATTCAACTTTAATTTTAAACTTTAGGGCATTTCAGTCTCTCAAATCAGACTTTGAGCAAACAGACCTCTGTTTCAAACTCACAGACCATGAACAGCTACATTAGCCTACAACTATGTAAGTAGATCTGGGTGTAAGCGTGATCTATATGGCCACAGTCTAGGCTGGTCCACTCCCCTTGGGTTTGATGTGGACTGGAGAGAGGGACTCACCACAGGTTGAGCATTTTCACGCAGCTACAGAAGAGTGAGAAAAGACAGAGATTATTACACAGAGGTGAGACGATGAGACAAACCTAATGTCGGCGACAAAAGACCAACAGGAAGACACAGACAGAAAGAGAGAGAGAGACAGACTCAGTGGATAGTGTAGATCTAAAACATCTGCTCAATTCATGGTCACCTTGTATTAAGTAATATCATAATAAATATTTTATTTATCCCTGTTTGTAAAATTCTAAAACAGATGGCCAACAGAAAAAAAGAATGGGAGAAAAAGGGGTAGAGAAGAAAAGGAACAGAAAGGGTTTGGAGAAGTGTAGTGTTGTCCTCAGCTCACCAGCCCACCGCTCTACTAGTGAATATAATATAACATAAACATGCTTCAGCTTGACCAATGGGTCTCTGCCACTATAAAACATTTGGTATGATTGTTTTGTACAAATTAAGCCAAGTAAATTCCATCAACCATGGTATAAAAAAAAAATCACAAATTTCATTAGGTAGTAGGTTCTTCAAAAGTTGTCAAAAAGCAACCTCATGTAATAGGGAGAAATCCAACAACAACGAAAAACAGGTTACATTTAAATATATAAAAATCTAATTTGCTTTGATTTTTAGCACAAGACTTTTGACAATTAAAAATGTTTTATAGCACCACGATGATGCAAAACACTTCATAATTTAATTTAAAATAGCCTTTAATGCAGCATTCAACAGGTTTTGACAGTTTTACAGCTTAAAATGCAGCTCCTTCAATCAGAATTATATGTTTGATATATATCAGCTATGTTTATAACACATTTATAATTTAACTGTGTCACTCAGTAATGATAGCATATGTACATGAGATATAAAAAAAATTAGATAGTAGATAGTAAAAGTGTTCTTACATTCTTGGTTATTCAACTCCAATAACATGTAATATTTTAAAGCTCACAGGGTTTAGAGACATGTTTTTGAACACCATATTTGTGGTTTAAAGATTAAAAAAAATATATATATATATATATATAACTAACTGAATGCATCTCACCGGAAAAGTGACAATGCCATTTTTTTAATCTCAGTAAAATTATTTTAATGCTTGTGTTCTTTCTTAGAAAATGGAATAAGAATGTTTGTACCTATGCTCATGAAAGACATTTACTGTAGGATGTAACTAATTAAAAAAAGCATTAAATAAACAAAAATAAATAAAATAAAGAGTATAAAAAAACCATACCGACTCATTTGCTCCTCTACATCTATGCAAAGCAAAACAATCCATGACTTGGCATCTAGTTGGAAGACACAGTCATGAGCTAAGCATGGGGCATAAAACAGATGCCAAACACGAATAGTGTGAAGCCCTGATGACGATTCTCGTTTTTGGATGGACTTTCCTTTTAATGTAATGTTATGTAAAGTAGAAGCTGCTACTATAGCTCAAGTGGAAGTGTTCTATCATTACAGGCTGAATCTTTAAATAAGGATATGTAACAATGCTAAAGCAATCAACAGGTTGCTACATTCAAGAAACAAGGAAATGCAAAGAAGAAAGATCAGAGAGATTAGAAGAAAGACCTCTGGTGAGCATTAATACTGTGTAATAACCATGGCGACCTTGTGTGTTTGTGCAATCCTGTTAACTGATAAAGGCAGCTGCTGTCTGTGCCACTTTCAAGTCTGTGCATCAATAAATCAAAGACAGAGGGCTTTTTAAGATATCAAAGAACTACAAGAATAAGTGTTTAAAATTATATCAGACAGGACGTTTTATATGACAAACTCAAATGCACATTGGGTGCTTTAGAAGAATAGAAAACTACAGAGTGTAACAGTTGTCTTTCAAAATACTGTCTTTAAAAATATAAACTACCAGTCAAAAGTTTGGAATTATAAAGATATTTTATGTTTTTGAAATAAGTCTCTTATTCACACCGAGGCTGTATTTATTTGATCAGAAATACAGAATAAAAAATATTAATAAATATTAACATTAAATATTACAAGAACGGTTTTCTACTTGAATATATATTAAAATGTATTTTATGTATTTCCAGTGATGGCAAAGCTGAAGACTGGAGTAATGGCTGCTGAAAATTTAGATTTGCAACAGAAAATAAATAAATAAAATTAAAAACAAAAATAATTTGAGAACAGTAATAATATTTCACAATATTATTGTTTTTACTGTATTTTTTATTAAATAAATGCAGCCTTGGTGAGTGTAATAGACACCTTACAAAAACATTTTAAAAAATTATCAAAATTATTCCAAACTTTTGAATGGTAGCATTCCTATTTCATTCAAAACTAAAAAAGTGCCTATTTAAAAAAAAAAAAAAAAAAGTGCAAATAAGAAATGGATAATTTTATCCAATATAATGTTCCATTAAACATTTTGGGTACACAGAGCACTACAGGGGAGCAGATGGGAATGGATCAGAGAGGGCAGGGGTGAAATCATTTAAAGACCCAGAGTGCTAAAGGACAGCTTGTGTCAGTTAATACACAAGGCATAGACAACAGAAACCTGTGAGAAGCCATGTGCACATACTTGGCCTCATCCACCACTTCCACTTCTGCCTGTGCTGTGATTGGTGCGTTTGAGTGGGCCGCCAGCGGGTCGTCTGCATTCAGTTCACCATTAGTTGAGCTCACCACCTGTGGCAGAAAAGAATTAATTCAAATAAAATCAAATTATTGGGTGGCCTCAGCGTAAAAATTTTATTTTAATAAGAGAGTTCAAGAGAAGCTCTTTAGAGAACTTTAATACGTTTTTCTGTGCAAGTAACTACTGAAAGGCAGTAACTGAGGAAAATCATTTACTACCATACTTGCTTATGAAAGGTCAAAATATTCCTGGTTAAATGCAACCTTAACTTTATAACCAACTGAAAATAATTTCAATTTCAAGCTTATGAAATGATAAATGATTTTCACAGAACACATCTTAAATCTATAGGGCTAATTCTTGTATTGCTGTGTGTTTTCTCATTGTATGTAAATTATTCAAATTTCTTTAACCTAGAATATTTAAAAATACTTTGAAAAAAACTTTAAAAAAAAAAATACTTTGCTACCACCAGTCAATCCAAAAAATAATAATATAAAATGTAGCCATATTGATATTCATGCTAGGGCTGCACGATTAATCGAATGCGATTGTCATGCGCATTTTGATAGTAATGCCGGTTCTGTAATCAGCAGGAAATCATCATCACGTGCTTTCAGATGGAGCAGAATTTACTACACAGGCCTTTGGATGGGGATTTACTGCTGACCACAGAACCGTGCTTCACTGAAAGATACGCATGACAATCGCACCTGCTGTCGAATCGCAATCTCGATTCCATTTCGATTTATCGTGCAGCCCTAATTCATGCTATTATTTAAAAAGCCAATGTTCTATTATTTTAGTTGTCCGAGTCTCACCAGATCAACTAATGTACAGAATCGAGAGAAAAAAAAAACACTTTCACTACTCTTCACTACATAACACTTTCATACAGTAGCCCCAAAAAGTATTTTCACTCTTAAGTCACACTTAATGTAATACCATTTGGTTTATTATTTTGTCATCTAATATATCTTTACATATTACAGAATTTCCCTCAGTTCAATAAAGAAGCCATCTAAATAAGCTCTAGGACTGTCAGCAGCATTTCTCAGTCGCCTACTGGAGGCACCTACTGGATAAAAGTGAAGCAAGCAGCGCATGGTGGTGAATCTGCATGTTTGGCGCCATCTCAATCAAATACATGCACTGAACTGTGCTTTGTGTACTGTAGAGTGCGAGAGATGGCGATACTAGGCCCTAATGTCAGCTGTACCAAATTACCACAACAGGGGTTACAAATAATCTCAGCCTCTGCGTGACATATGCCGCGTTTCATTCAATTCAGAAAGTTGGAATTTACACCCTCACACTCAGAAAAGTGATAGAATATGAAAATGTCACATTTCCAACCTCCTACTTGGAAAATTCCAATAGAATGCCACTTGACAGCGTTCTTCCAACTTGGACAATGGAATGCTATACGGTTAGAATTCGGAAATATTAAGGTTGGAATATCCCACATTCAAACACTTTCACACTTTGAATGAAACACAGCATTTCTACATTTTATAAATAAGAACAAGAATTGCCAAACAGGGGAACCCATAGAGGAAGTGTTCTAGAGCAGGTGGGGTGCGCTGCTGCAGATGGCCGCAGACATGAGTGCACACAGGAGGAGGAGTCGAGCGAGGGGTGAAGCAGTACCTGCACTGAGCCTCCGTGCCTGTCCGCTGTCAGGTGCGAGGTCAGGTAGGAGGAGTTTGTCTGGCGGTTGGGCTGCACCTCCCAAGCTCCTCTGCGGTCGGAGATGGCCGTCTGTGCGGATGGAGGAGGTGCGGGAAGAGGCACAGGAGGGGGGAGGTGTGGTGAGTGAGCGAGAGCGGGCGGAGTGAGGCCAGGTGGCATGCAGCACAATGCAGGAATGGAAATCAACAAGAAACAAAAAGAGCCAGTCAAAGCCAGGAAACGGCATTAGTGACTGTGGACCAGTCGTCCAATCAAACCAAGCAAACACCACAAAATAAACACAAGGAGACATTAAAACAGAGGAAACTCAAGAGAAAACTTTCTGAAAGCTGTTGAATGCCAAGTGGACACTACATGTAGCAAATCAGGCATCCAACACTGAGTTCCGACTGAAATATCTGACAGCATAATTTCAATAATTAAAGGGCTAGTTCAACCAAAAATAAAAATTACCCCATGATTTACTCACCCTCAAGCCATCCTAGGTGTATATGGCTTTATTCTTTCAGATAAATATAATCGCAGTTACAATAAAAAATGTTCTGGCTCTTCCAAGCTTTATAATGGGAGTGAATGGTGGTCAAGATTTTGAAGCCCAAAAAAGTGCATCCATCCATCATAAAATGTACATATGTCACGGCTCTGGAGGGTTAATAAAGGTCTTCTGAAGTGATGCGATGCGTTTGTGTAAGAAAAATATAGATATTTAAAATGTTATGAACCATAATCTCTAGCTTCCTCTAACTGTCGTAGACACGTTAACGAGAAAGTGGCGTTCCAGTGGATGACGTAGGACATAGATGTAGCATAAGCTCCGGTGAGACATGATGAAGGGAAGCGAGGAGGAGAGAGCAAAACAAAACACTGGTCACAAATTATAAGTACAAAATTAGGATTTGTAAAGAAAAATATCAGCAAAACCAAAAACCATCATTGGTTTTCCTTTGGTTGGTTCTCACAACACTAGCATATTCTCACCGGAGCTTACGCTACGTCCTATGTCTTCCTCTAGAACACCACTCTCTCGTGTACACAAGTACAACAGTTAGCGGAAGCTAGAGATTACAAAGTTTATAGAGTTTTTATTTTTCTTACACAAACACAACAATTTGCTTCAGAAGGCCTTTATTAACCCCCCGGAGCCATGTGGAGTACTTTTTATAATGGATGGGTGCACTTATTTGGGCTTCAAAATAGGGCTGGACGATATGGCCAAAATTTATATCACGATATATTTCTTAATTTCGGTCGATACAATATAATTCCGATATCGATATGAACACTCTAGGATGGCTTGAGGGTGAGTAAATCATGGTGTAATTTTCATTTTGGTGAACTGTCCCTTTAAGAGAACTAAAATACTATCTATAGCTATGTTTCGCATAAAATTCAACCTGATGGCTCATATTCTGCCATTTATAAGTGGACAAGATGGAATTAACAGAAAGCTCAACACATTCTGAGTCAGACAAGAAACACAAGAACATACAAAAAAATCCAAATTCAATTTCTGAAACTGCAGTGTGCAGTATACAGCTTCAGGACAACCCCCCGGTTAATCACTAGTGTGAATGTGAAAGTGTTTTGTGGTGGACACGATAGTTTGGTAGTGTGAAAATATAGCGGAAAATATAATTAACTTAATTACTTTTGCATTTAGTGGCAGGATTGAAGTAACTTAAAAGATGTGTTTATTGATCCATTCATTTTAAGCAGAGATATTTTTTTTTAGAAGTTAAGAGTCCTAATCTACTGTTTCCTAAATTATGATGATATTAGGAAACAAATATTTAAATTTAAAAAATCAATATATATTGTGAACAGTTTTATATCTGGAACGCTGGTTCTAGACACACGACCAAAAACATAAGGTGCAATGGGGTTAAAGGCACATCTTCAGGAAAATGTGTTTTTCACTACTCACACAGTGTATGACTTCAGAGAAAATACACACTATATGGACAAAAGTATCAGGGGCCGGTTGCACCAGCTGTACGTAAGTTACAACTTAGCCTAATTTTGACGTAAATGGGCACTAAGTTACAACTTACGCACTACTAAATATATTTTCGTTGCACCATTACACTTAGTTGAGGTGTAACTACATATAAACTAAATATTATGGAAGCGTCTGGTCAGGAGTAACGGTTGGAATAAAATAGCAGACTGAGTGAACTGCATCAATATGCTGTTCTTTTACCCAACCTTCAATCCTTTAGGCATATATGATGCTGCTGACATTTACACTCACGTACATATTAAGAGAGAGAACAATGTGAATAAACATACTTTGTTTCTTTTTTAGCGCGTCTTCAACACCCCATCTACAGTGCGCCTCTGTGCGCTTCGGCCCGTGTTGCGCATGTCAGATTAAATAAATAAATGGCATTTCTTATGTTTTTTTTTTCTTTCAGTATTTATTGATCCTTATTTCAATTACAGTTTCTGAATGTTATTTACATATAAAAATAGCTTACATGTAGGCTAATGTTACTAATATATAGTTTTTAATGGAAACTTGTTTATATTTTTACCGTTAGTATACGTGAGGCAAAATAAGTTAGAATGAAGGATAAATTAAAATTCATAGCATTTAAACAAGTTCTGCTCGCATATTTGAAGGTTTCTATTGGATGATTTAGGGTAAACGTCATATTATGCGACTACGCATTACTTTACAGAGAGTTTACGAACTACTTATTACGTCCTGCCTTACGAACAGCTGGTGCAACCAAATAATGTATAGATTTAGTTACAAACTAGCTAGTAGTTACTAAGCCTCTAGTGTGGACTTAACGTTCTAATTTAAGTAAGAACTTACGAAAGGCTGGTGCAACCCTACCCAGGACACCTGACCATTATTACATCGACAGGGACCTTAATGACATTGAATTCTAAATACATAGACATCACTATGGAATTGGGTCCCCTTTGTAATAATAGCTTCCGCTCTTCTGGAAAGCCCTTTCACAACATTTTAGAGTATTTCAGTGGGAATTTTTGCCCATTCATCCAGTAGAGTATTTGTGAGGTCAGGCACTAATGTTGGACGAGAAATCTGGCTCGCAATCTCTGTTCCACTTCATCCCAAAGATGTCCGATGGGGTTAAGGTGAGGGCACTGTGAGAGCCACTCAGGTTCTTCCACGTCTTTATGGACCTTGCGTTATGCACTGGGGCACAGTCATGCTAAAATAGAAAAGCATTGTCCAAAATGTCTTTGTATACTGAAGCGTAAAGATTTCCCTTCACTAAAAGTAAGAGTCCCAGCCCAACCCCTGAAAATCAGCCCCATACCACTATCCCATCTCCACCAAACTTTCCAGTTGGCATAATGCAGTCTGGCAGGTTACGTTCTCCTGGCATCTACAAAACCATCAGACTGCCAAACAGAGAAATGTGATTAATCACTCCACAGAACATGTTTCCACTGCTCCAGAATCCAGTGGCAGCATGGTTTACACCACTCCATGACGCTTGGCAAAGCACTCCATGAAGCTCCCGAACAGTTTTTGTGTTGTTATTAAAGCCAGTGGCAGTTTGAACTCTTCAGCCATAGAATCAGCAGAGCATTGGTGACTTTTATGCACAATGCACCTTAATGTCACATAAATGTCATTGAAAATAATCCAACAATGTCATGCCAACAAATGGAAAAGTCAGCCAGCTATTTATCAGTTACTGTGCCTTTAGTTCTAACAGCAGGGGCAGTTTTTTTACCCTAAAGGTACCCAAAAGTGAAAATTCTGTCATGATTTACTCACCCTCAAGTTGTTACAAACCTGTATGAGTTTCATTCTTCTGTTTTAGCCACTGACTTCCATAGTATGAAGAAAAAAATCTATGGAAGTCAATGGCTACCAGCAACTACCCACATTCTTTAAAACATATTGTGTTCTACAAAAGAAATTAATTCATACAGGTTTGGAACCTCATTAGGGTGAGTAAATTACGACAAAATTTGAGTGAACTATCCCTTCAAAAAACATACTTTTTCATATTGTTAAAGGGGTAGTTCACCCAAAAATGAAAATTAGGCTGCGTTTTACTCACCCCCGAGGCATCCTAGGTGTATATGACTTTCTTCTTTCAGACGAATCCAGTCAGAGTTATATTAAAAATTGTCTTTGATCTTTCAAGCTCTATCATTGCAGTCAGCGGGTGTTGCATTGCTTCAGTCCAAAAGAAGTTAAATAAAGAGCGCCAATCCATTAAAAAAAAAGTGTCTCACACGGCTCCGGGGGGTGAACAAAGGCCTCCTGTAGCAAATCGATGCGTTTTTGTAAGAAAAATATCCATATTCAAAACGTAATAATCACTTGAATCTAGCTTGCGCTCACTGTTGTAAACTGGAAGCAGTTCCGGGGGAATGACGTATGAGGTCAGCTTTGCGCATGTACTCACCGGCGCATGTGCAACGCTGACCTCATACGTCATGCTCCCAGAACTGCTTCGGTGTACAACTGCTGGTGCAAGCTAGATTAAAGTGACTATTACGTTTGGAATATGGATATTTTTCTTACAAAAACACATCGATTCGCTACAGGAGGCCTTTTGTTCACCCCCCGGCGCCGTGTGAGACACTTTTTTTTATGGATGGGCGCATTTTATTTAACTTCTTTTGGACTGATGCACTGCAAGGACAAAAAAAAAGAAAAGCATTTTTCAAAAAATCGTCTTGTGTTTAATAGATGCAAGAAAGTCATACAGGTTTGCAACAAAATGGGGGTGAGAAAATGACAGGATTTTCATTTTTGGGTGAACTAACCCTTTAAGTTACTGAAAAACTTTTGAATTAATTATCTTTAACAAAACTGAAAATCATTAACAAGAGCTTTTTCTTAAAATATACTTGGTAATTGTATTGAATAAATCTATAACACATTAGATCAAATTAGCACCGAATCAAATTTGGGTTGCTGTCCGTGATCACATCAAGGATCAGCCAAATTTCCACATGCATATATTGCATATTTGGCATTAAAAGAGAATAAAATGAAATGTGCCTTTGACCCCAGTGCACCTTTAGACCTGTTGTACCCCATCTCTTATCAGCAAGTCTATAGAAAAGTACTGTTTAAATCTAAAGACTTTTGTGGTGAAAATTTGAATAGGTGTTGATGTGCCCCAATTAGTGTTGCGATGCCCTCTAAACAGACTCACTAAACACCAGAACCTCCACCAAAATGATGATGAGGCAGTTTGCAGGGCCCTTGTGTCTTTCAGCCAAGGATTTCTAAAGATATCTGCACTCCTCTTCCCTCACAAGAATCATAAGGATACACGTGAATTCAAATCAATGGAATCACCTTAGACATATGATGTCAAGATGTTTTAAAGAACAGATTAGCCAAAATTAAGGTAGTCATCACTTCATTATCTCACCCTGTCTTTGCAAAAGCACCTTTATTCATGAAACAAACATTTTTTTTTTTTTGTTGACTTAAATCTCTTAACCTTGAACTATAAGCACTAATTTGGGTGCACCCCAAATTCAAACACTTGTGAAAATCTTTTATGAACCAAAATTAAACTTTCGTTCAGCAGATGAGTTTGATACAGGGCAAGTTTGTGAGATGTGCAAAGCGGATTTGCTCTTGCAAACGTAAGAGAAAGCCAGAAAAAGCACAAATTGGCAAATGAATCAATATAAAAATAGTCTCCAGTGACATATATACTTGGAAATATATAGTTTTAGGAACTTCTATTCCCAGCATGCACGCTGAGCCATGATGTGCTAAAGCAGTGCATGCTGAAGCAGCCAGTTGCTGAGTGGGCGAGTCTAATGATTTTGTTTAAAGCTTCATGTAGTGGTGCAAAAAAAACCTCTAAAATCAACTCCACCTCTACCAGCTCTGTTTAGAATTCTTCAACAGATGTCATGAAAACATGTCTAGGCCATTATTTCACTTCAAAATTAAATCAAAACTCGTTTTAAAAAAATCTAATTTCTAATTTTTTTGTATTGTGATCTAGTAAGGACCTTTCCCTCCCCCAAATTCTCATTACCAGTAAAAAAAAAAAAAAGCATGCATGCATGTATAAATAAACAAACAAATTTTTCGATAATTTCCACTTTTCTCAACGGTGATTCTCATTACTGTCCTAAAACTTTGCATGACAATAAAAAGAAAAAAGAAAAAACTTTTATTTAAATCACATTCATAACCGTTTAAATTATAATAGTATTGTGAAATATTATTACAATTAAAAATAATTATCTAATTTAATATATTTTAAAATGCAATTTATGCAGGTGGTGGCAAAGCTGATTCTTTTAGCACACTTTATTCCAGTTTTCAGCGTCACATTATTCTTCTGAAATATGCTGATTTATTATTAGTTAAAAATAGTTGTGCTGCTTAATATTTTTGTTAAAACCTGTTGATACTATTTGAAATAGCAATCTTTTGAAAACAATGCAAAAATGTTTACTGTAATTTTTGAACTTGAAAGTTAATGTGACCATGCTTAAAAAAAATAAAAAATTCTTACCGACTTCTACATCAACAATTCTATTTCTTTCTTGTGATCTTGAGGTGAAATATGACCCAGACTTGTTTTGTGAGATTCACCCATTTGGTTCAGGGGAAATATTATCTACCTTTAATAAATGGGTGTGTGGACAGAAACATGAACATGGGACATTTTCTCTTTCCTTTCCCATAATAAAGACAAGGTTCACCAATCTTAAGCTTCCTTAATGAGCAGCGGAAGATTACCTGATTCCTTAAGGGCTGGTGCTGGGAGGGTCTGTCTCTGTGTGCGTGGCTCTCACGCGTGATGGCAGATGCCCCCGAGTCCACGTGGACCGACCCCACCGGTGTGGGCTGAGAAAGACAAACCAAAACACAGAGAGCATCAGTTCCAAGGTGAACTAGCTCTGTGTCTGAGCAACTATAGACCGCAACATTAGGCTGTCTTGCAGAGATGGATAAACTGTGCCACTTTATTCTCTAGGCAGTAAAGATGACATGTTAACTCACAATCTGTCTGCCAACCCAGTCGTACGAGTAATCAAAGGTATATCCTTTTCGTTCAAACAACTCCGTAAACAAGGTCCGCAAGTATTCGTAATCTGGCTTCTCAAAGAAATCCAACCGCCGGACATAGCATAGATAGGTGGCCATCTCCTCTGAAAACACAAATGAGGATAAAGTTACAATGACAATAATCAATAAATAAGAGCAAGGGGAAATCTTGTCTTAAAGTCAACATAAAACATTTCAACAACTCATTTTACTTCTGCAATGTGATATGCTGGTACCCACATGGCAGCTTAATATGTTATTGCATTTAAAAAGGATTACAAAATAGGGTTGTGTGCCTCAACTGATTATATTGTTGTTGACTAGTCTACATAACTAGTTGACTAGTCTAAAAAAAAAACAGTCTGTTTATGCAATCTATTTGTAATAGCCTACTTAATCTATGAATCAAACAGTCAAATCCTATACTGAATGCCGTTGAAAAATAGGTTATATTGAGGGGTGCACACTTTTTTCATTCTGGTTGTCATGAGAGCACCTGGAGATTTGGTTTGGTGCTCACACTGCACATAGCGTGACCCATTAAATATAAATAAAATAATAATAGTATTATTGCACTTTTAGTTTATTTTTAAAATAAAAGAAATAAAACAACAAATAAAGTGTGATAATACTACATTTTAAAATAAAAAAATGAGTATTAAATAAAAAATACACTTATTTTATAGCACACTTAAAAATACAATGCTAAATTGTATTTTTAACTTTTTATTTTTTATATGAATTTTCAACATTTTCAAACCTAAAATCAGCAAGCTTTTATTTTGGCGGGTTGCCGGCAAGTAAGTACATGCGGTGCCGGTTTTACCACTGCCAAGTGAAATGCAGTGAATTAAACTGTTTTGCTCTTAAACCGCCAACATTTATGCTTTCAGTTTGAATGGATATTTTATACAGTATTACAGTTAATTGATCTAAAATGGTGTTGGTGCAGCTGTCAAACATGTCTGTGCGTAAATGAGCATTCATTCTTCCAAAATCTGACCCTAACCTATCTTGGGTCAGAATGTTGTAGCAGAAATCAAGACCAGACCAGGCAACGTTTTCTCAATCTTCTATCCAATTTTGGTAAGCCCATGCAAACTGTAGCCTCAGATTTTTGTCCTTAGCTGACAGAAATGACAGAACAGATGTACCTAATAAAGTGGCTGCTGAGTGTATTTATTAAAATCAGAGTGTGACCCATTAAATATAAATAAAATAATAATAGTATTATTGCACTTTTAGTTTATTTTTAAAATAAAATAAATAAAACAACAAATAAAGTGTGATAATACTACATTTTAAAATAAAAAAATGAGTATTAAATAAAAAATACACTTATTTTATAGCACACTTAAAAATACAATGCTAAATTGTATTTTTAACTTTTTATTTTTTATATGAATTTTCAACATTTTCAAACCTAAAATCAGCAAGCTTTTATTTTGGCGGGTTGCCGGCAAGTAAGTACATGCGGTGCCGGTTTTACCACTGCCAAGTGAAATGCAGTGAATTAAACTGTTTTGCTCTTAAACCGCCAACATTTATGCTTTCAGTTTGAATGGATATTTTATACAGTATTACAGTTAATTGATCTAAAATGGTGTTGGTGCAGCTGTCAAACATGTCTGTGCGTAAATGAGCATTCATTCTTCCAAAATCTGACCCTAACCTATCTTGGGTCAGAATGTTGTAGCAGAAATCAAGACCAGACCAGGCAACGTTTTCTCAATCTTCTATCCAATTTTGGTAAGCCCATGCAAACTGTAGCCTCAGATTTTTGTCCTTAGCTGACAGAAATGACAGAACAGATGTACCTAATAAAGTGGCTGCTGAGTGTATTTATTAAAATCAGCTGAATCAATAGGCAGCGACCAATAACTACAAACATATAAGCCTATTATAAAGCCCACATACACCTGACAGAAGTTTGGCATGTACCAGCAACTAAACATTGTTTAAGGGTATTCTGTTCATTAGGACATTGATATAGGACCTCCTGCTGTCAAGTAAGTTCCTTTTTTTTTTTGATTGTTTGTTTATTGCATAAAAAAATATTTATTTATCTTATTTCAACTATTTATCTTTCACAATATTTGGTCTATCGAGTTATTGAAGTAGGTTTCATTTTTAATTTTATTCCCCTTTAAACCAATATAAAATTTGATACCGGTATTTTCCCTCATAACAAGCTTATAAGCAAGCTTAATTTTTGTATGCCAGTTTCACACAGACTGCAGCAAACTTTTCTGTTTTCTTCTAAATCAAATTACTATCTCAACATGCTCATCTTCTGAGTGGACAATTCCCTGAACCTGTCGCGAGTTACACTGAGAAAACAAACACACCAAGCTCTGATGCAATATGAAATGATTTTGTTTTCCACTCAAGATATATATATAAGCAATGTGTTATTTTTTAAAAAGTATCATTAACATGATAGTAATTTGAAGCAGCGGCAGTATCGTTTAGTCGACTAGTCTTGCGCAACCCTATTACAAAGAAACATTATATTTCCTTTGGAATAATGTGCACTTCTGAATCCTGCAAAAACCAGGATATGTGTATTAAGAAAGTAAACGAGGTCAGTTCTGATTTTATGTTGACTTTAAGATACAAATGCAGCACATGATGGGGGTCTCACCAGGAAAGTTCTCACAGAGAACCTCAATGGGAGTGTTTCGCTTTGTGTCCCCAATCTTCTGGTAGCGTTCCTTCAGTGTGTCAGCCTGCAAAGCACAAAAACAACGTCTGATTTTCAAGAACTAAATTAGTAACCGTTTTAATGGCTTTAACATGCTAGTTCAACATACTTTTAGTCCCTGCCAAGGGAGACTACCCCGGAGGAAATACATGAACATGTGACCCAAGGCCTCAAGGTCATCCCTCCGACTTTGCTCTGCAAAAAAAGTAAATAAAATAGTAACATCATGTACACAATAACATGAAGTTGGCTGGACAATAGAGATGGGAATCATGCGGAATTTAACAGATGAGGTTTTTAGAATGCACATACTCCATGCGGGATATCTGGGGAAATTGAACACATGGACTCACATTACACGTTTACATTGCAAAGCATCAGTCCAACATATTCACGCACTTCTCACCCAGGTGCCACACTGCTCTTAAACTACAGCAGCTTCTCAGAGGGCCTGTGCACTCACCAGCTGAATGGCGATCATCAGGACGGTCTTGAGGGAGAATGTTCGGTCACACAGGTCAAAGAGATCCTCAAGACTAGGGCCGAGCAGCTCCAGAACCATGGCATTGTATTTCCCACAGGGCCCAAAATAGTAGACCTGAGGCAGACCCTCTACTTTAAAAGAAAAACACAAGAAAATTACAGAAACATTAACTACACTTGTCATAACATTCTCTCTTTAAGTGTGTATTTTTAATGAAATTATGATTATATTTCCACAGGAAATGAAACAGAAAAATACAGAAAATTAAGTTTTAACATCCACAGGAATGAATATGTGGCTGTGACGGACTGAAATACAGTGCATTCAGAGGATTGTAATGTTGTTTAAAAAATACTGACTGTTCAGCTGACCAAATATCTTTCTGAAAAAATAAATAAATAAAAAAAACTTTAAGTAGACAAAAGTTTTTTTTTTTTTTTTATTTGTGAGATGGCAAAAATTATATGATCTAGGACCATTATACAGTGTGTGTCATTGTAAAGACTGTAAGTCTATCCGTCACAACCTCATTTTCATCAGTGTTTAATTCAATATAGCGTCTAACCTGGCTAAGTGTCGTCACTTGAACAGGAAAACTCATCTACTCACTAGTCTGCTTTCACAGCCTTTTAATGTGCCTATAAATCATGCTCTTGCAAACTGTTCTAACTCAAACTTTCAGGGAAAATGTTTTTAAAATAAAGACTCAGAGTTCCCAGAAGCTTAATATAGTAGTGATGTTGAAGTCATGTGACTGTAGTGTAGTTCATCAGGCTTCAAAATTTATAAGTTGTGTTCATTTGTAAAGATTATCACGATGAACAAAACTGCATGAATGAAACTTTTGCAGGTCACGGAGCTGATTTTCTACAATAATCCAATGTTGTAGAAGGAACCAGAATAATGCTAACTTCCAGGTTGGCCTACAAAAAAGCATATACATTTGTCTCTAAACTGTATGCATCTTGTGAGGGTGATGTGGGTAGTTTCAGGCAAAGCCTACACTGCTCATTGTGTGGTGGTGTTGTAACACCCCTGAGAATAGAGCACACTGTTGGCCTGCCGATGACTCATCTTGTGTTCAGACTGCACATAACACATATTCAGGTGTTGGTTTCTATCTATCTCTGCTGATTAACTTTCACAAGCTTTCTATCGACACTCCACTGCTAGATGCTGCTGGAACATGTGAGTGGGAATTCAAAGAGTGGCAGGACATTCATATAGTAATTAGGGATGGGCATTCCAAGCAAAAATAATATTCGAAAATCTCTGGGCATTATTCGAAAATTGCACCCCTCCCCCGCATGCTCGCACAAATACCCATAAACAGAGAGAGACTGGATTCACGCTTTCAATCGGTATGATAAACTAATTCAGAAGATAGGCTGTCTTAACTCAAGCCATATAATGATTGTAACGTGCTGAAACATATTAATATAATAAACATAACCGAATGACGGCACTTATTAACATAACAGTCCATGAATTAGCATAAGCCAACTGCTCATAAGGACATTTCCATTTAAAAAAATGGAACCCCTAAAGGGAATAGATACGAGATAGGAGGAAAAATATACTTCGATATCTTCTGTCGCAATTATATCATTAGGTAATTATACTGTATATAAACTGCGGGCATCAGGGAACCGTTATTAATATGCGGCGCATTGAAATTTCTCATGAACTTGTGTTTTACTTTTGAGATTCGCGATCACACGTACGGAGCAGCACTCGGCAGTACTTACCACACATTTTACAAGATTAGATGTTTGTCAGTGGTGCTCAGGATCTGCAAATCATTCGCCATCATCCTATCAGTCATCTCTCCTTACTCTGTTTATGTGGTAAGTGAACTTTCATGTACTGTAATGCAACAGGCTACCGCTAGCAAGCCGCTAACCCTTTAGTGG